AAATTTTCTTTGCTCTCTGAGGATAACATCTATTTCTATTGTTTTTGAGTCTTGTAGAAACCGTAGCAGAGTGAAAAGCCTTCATTTGTTTGACAGAGAAAGAACATTTTAACATTTGACAAGATCCTTGCAGTTGGTAAATCTTGCAGTCCTTCTGTGTACAAACATAGGAGAAAGGATCTCTTAACGCTGTAAATCCCATTGGTCACCTTGTCAAAAGCTGAAGATGATAATTTTTGCTTCTTTTTTATAATAGCGCTTTTCCTCCCTCACTGAAAACATCACCTGTATTCTAACTCCCAGTATTGTGTTCCTGATGTTTTTGCATCCTGCGTATTATTTCTTTATGACCATGTTCTGTTACAACTTGACTTATTTACAACTTTACTTGTTTTTTCCTTTTGACTCCTCATCCAAATTTATTGTAGAAATGACTTTCTAATGTAGAATTAACTACGTATTTGGGGAAATGGAGACTTTATGAAAGTAAGGTCCTTCAAATTTGTGTACTCTCTAACTGTACCAAGCTACCTGTATAACAGTAAGCAGTATATTGTGCTTGTGTTTGCCTGTAAATACTATTTCCTCTTTAAGTTTATATTTTTTGTCTTTGAGGTGGTAAGTCTTTGTACAGATCTTTGTGCATTTATGATAATATGCGTATTTTTCAGGACCTGAAGATGACTCTGAATGTACATGCATTGTAAAAAAGGCTTGTCAGGTTTTGCTGTTGTATTTGTAGAACAGGGTGCAGATGTGGTTTAACACTCATACAGCTGACCTTCCCGTAGACAGAGGGCTGTTGAAATGATGTTTTGCATAAATTTCATTTTGTTCTGGTACCGTAAGGCATTCTCTCAATGAATAAAACAGTATTTTGAAACAATGGTTTGCATTAAAACAGTCTTGAAAGATTTTTATGAAAATTTGTAAGGTCAGTCACACAGTCTGCGTTTTTCATGATTAGACATTAATTTAGCACTTTACCCAGTACCATGTGTAATCTTTGTGGACATAGTCTGTTTTACTACTGTGATAGGCCACCACATCATGTAATCTGGCTTTTGAGCTTACTGAGCTTCACCTGAAAGCAGGTAGGTTCATCATGCTGCCCATTTCTGTTGGGAAGCAGTTGTAAATATCCCCTCTTCAGTGGGAAGCTTTCCTCTTAATTCTAGCCCGCATTTATTTAGGGTTAGTTTATATCTATTCTTTTGTCAGTATTATCCTTCAGTTCAAATAGCTCCCTTTCATCCTTGGCATTTACTCATGGTGTATTTACCGAGCGCAGTTTTATTCCATCCAGCCGTTGTTTTGTTAGGCTAGGTGAGCTAAGCAATTTTTGTCCCTTCTGATTCATCACTCCCATCTGAGTGATGCTTCTCTGCACCTGATGAGCTTTCTCTTTTCTTTTATCAATAACTAGAGAACAGTGTATTCTACTGTTGGCTTGCATGAAGACATTACTATTTTCCCTGCCTCTACTGGAAATAAATTTAGGGGGTTTGGTGCCTACAGTGATGGCTTATGGTCAGTCACCATGCGATCTTAATTCACTTTTCTGCCTCTTCAAATAGATTAATCCTACATTTGGAATAAGGATTCATATTTGCGTTGAAAGGCATGTTCTTGGCCATCATATTTAATGCTGTTCCTGTCATTTCAGTCCACAAGTTCATTCATTTCTTCCTCTGATAATATAGTCCTCCTTCCTGTTGACAGACATGGTGAAGATAAAATGCTGAGAAGCAGTCTTTGGTCACTAAAGAAAAATTAGATCACACTCTGGACCAGTATTCAAGGAATCCAGTTCCGAAATACAAGAATGCTGTAAGAGTTAAGCCCAGGTCCATCCACGTGCATTCATCTAATTTCTGATATACTATATTTCTTACAGGCATAACCAATAATCTCTTCTTTAATTATTTTTCATACCTTCTGCTTTGTGCCTTAGTTGCAAATTTTCTCCAATATCTGATTTTCCCAAGGAGGTCTGCTGCATTATTTTTTTCCTTTTTTTTAAAAAAAGAAAATCAGATTAAAAAGAAAAAGATTAGGTTTCTTGGCAGTTTAACTTTTTTCCCATTTTTAACTTCCATATCTATTTCCTTCAAAACTTGTTTCACTTCCTTGTTTGTTAATTAACTTTAGAGTTATGGGTCTGTAGTTGTGTCACCTTTTTCCTTCTTTCTTGGTATTGTTTGCTAATCTCTGTGCATATCCCACTGCCATTTTTTGATGGAATTAGTAAAAATCCCTTTTAATGATTTTATAAGCTATTCTATGTGAGGATAATCCTGTAAAGACTAGCTAGACTTTTATGAAATACGCACTCCTAGGGACCTTGCATTTGAAAGAGGCCTTGTAGTTTTTGTTCTTGAAAGAAGTCATTTTGCTAGCAGCACACCAGAGGACTTCATTGTTCCCCCACCCCCATTTCCCTTTGTAAAAAATTTGCACAACTTTCAATATGTATGTTTTGCAAATAGGCTTGCCTAATCCGTTCTATAAATGTTCTGAATAATAAGGGCCAAAAAGTGCAGAGAAGGAGTGGCAGGAATTTACAGCTAGATTAGGTTTACAGTATTTCCTCTCTCAGCAAGATGGTCCTAGATTAAATGCTCGTAAATTTTCAATAATTTAACATAATTATAGCTTTACAGGAAGTGTTGAAACCTTCCCTTTCCTACAGAAGAATGCCTTTTCTGCATTCTTACATCCATCTGAAGTTTGTTGTCCTACTGCAAATCTCTTCTAAAGTCACGTGCCTTCCCAGGTGCGGATAAACATTGTGGTATTTCTTTTGTTCGCCATTTTCATATTTGAATTTTTGCCAGGTTTTTGACAGTTTCATAATGAAGTGACCTTGAACAGTGATATTTATATAATGTCTAATAACTTCTCTGGAAAATGGGCATAGATGAGAACGCCTTTAGGAAGCAGAAGATTCGGTATCCAGACTATATAGCCTTTATTCTACATTTTGAGGCTGGATGACATCTTTGTATGATCTGTGGGAGGACGTGGCAATGGTCAGCGTACCACGCAATACTGAGTTTTGGTGGATTTCTTCCAAACCTGGTCTCCGCTGAAAGTGAATCACTGCCCATTGCAACATTGTGGGAATGTGGTAAAAGGTTAATGATTCCCCAAAGAATTTAAGTACGAAAAAGGCCTTTTATATTGGTATAAACTTGTATGTCTTTGCAGAGCTGTTTTGGTTTCAGCTGGGCTTCTTTTACACGGAGGAACTTACTATAGAGCTGGTAATAAGTACTACAGACTAGAAGAGTAAGATCTCTGGCACATCTCTGTTTTGCTTGTTGTAACTTGGTGAAATTCATGGTTGTGCAGGAGATGATGTTAAATCAATAAGGAAGTGATTTAAAGAAGATCTGATAAAAATCAGATGTGATTTTTATCTAGTTGAGAGGACTGTCTGAAACTGAGATTTGAATCTACTTTGTGAGAATTTAGAAGAGCTAACTTGTTAACTAGGTACGCTTCTGCGTCATGTGTTCTGAAATAACCTTTTTTCCATTTGGGTTTGAATTTTATGTAAACCTGTAAAGTATGGATTTTTGTTCCCAGTGGTGCTGTAATACTTTGGGGTTGTATGATCATAGTTTGGTAGTTTTTGCTTTTCTTTGGGATGGATCTTGGGAACTAGGACTCCTGAAAAATACGTGCTTGAATTGGGGACTGATTCAGACATGGCCTGCTCGCTCTTGTTCTTTGTTTTACAAAGTGAAACTCTTCTGAGATAGAAAAGCCAGAAATAGGGTTTTTTTGGCCTCTCTGTACATTGTATTTTCCATTGAGATATCTGGAAATTAGTTTCAATTTTGTATATATTTAACTGACAGCATGTGAAAGTGTGCAGTTTAATTTATGTAAGCAACATTCTGCCTTTTTTAATAGATTTGCTCTTTTTCCCAAATTGCATGTCATTTTATTCCCGTTACATAACCGTTATTCTCAAAATTATGATTTGTGGTTAGGCTAAAAAGCTGAATCTGCATCCCTTCTGCTGAGAAATGTACCATTTCCTTATGCTTCACTTCTCAATATTTCATTGTACTTTTGCATACGCCAGGACAGTTTGAAAAAACATCTCTAAATCAGACTGGGAGAATAGTCTTAAGGAAAAGAAAAAGAAAGGTTCCTTCATCTTCCCAAGTGCTGGAGGAGCTGTCATGCCCCCTGGTATGAGAGCTGGGCTCTTGGCTTGTTCTTGCTTTCTCTGATCTCTGCCAACACGTGTCATTTCTTTGCGTTGCATCCCAGCTTCAATGGTATCTTGCTGAAGTTCAGGCTCTTAATAAGCTTTGACAGTTGCCTATCATGCTGATCAGTCATGGCTTCTGACTTTTGGCTATTCCGTATTGTACCCTCTTACAGTCTTTGGTCTTACATTGTGATCTGTGATGTAGCGTCCCACCCGGCTTGTTCTGCGTGTGCGCAGTGGCTAGCACGCTAAAGTTTGAACTGGTTTCATATGGGAATGAGTCATTCGCTGACCTTAAAGTATTTGAAGGGAGTGTGGAGGAGAGAGTTCCAAGAATAGGTTTAAGAAAAGAAAAAAACCAAACAAACAGTTCTTTTAAAATACGAGGCTTGAACTATTTGGGGCTTATATCTCTTTAAGGAATCGGGTTTTAATTCATGAGCTGTGCAATCAAGGTAACCCTATTTTTCTGCCTCCTGCCAAGAAAGTAAGCACCATCTAAATCAAACTTTTTAGTTAAATTAGTATTTTATTACTATCCATACATGTGAAAAAAGACAAGAGTTAAAATGTTCTTAGCCTTCAGGTAGTTAACTGTGTTGTACCAAAATTTAACTTTGTATTATGTGTGAAAGCAGAAGACAACTTCCAAAAAGATGTAGTTTTGGGGATGAAAACTGTCAAACCTGTCTTTAATGAGTGAATGCAGCTTTATTTATTTAAAGTGCATGGTACCCAATTCTAAATCTTGCTTTTGGTTTCTGTCCTACAGGGAACACAGTGAGTAACCTGATTTTCATTCTACCTCCAATCTATGGTGCGATTCAGACCTATAAAGATGGCCTTGAAAAACGGTATTTAGCTGCATATTTGTGTCTTACAGGTATGTGTAAAACTTAATTTGCTCTTTCATTATAAAGAGAGCTCAGATGTGCAATGAACAATATCCAAATATTAATAAACCAAGTAGTTAAATCCAAATGCTTTGTGTGTGAAACATAAACCTCAATTTGTTATACTTGTTAATGTTTACAGAAAATTGGTGTTTCTTGGAAGGACATGAAGTTAGAATTCACTAAATAACTTTGAGATTTTAAAGTGATCCTTTTCCGGCTTTAAGTCCTGCTCAGTGCATCTTAGCTAACTGTGTCCTTTTATGATGATTTACAGAATATGTCTTGTCCTACTTCCAAACAGTTTCACACTATATTAATATTTTTGTGACATTTGTATGGGACAGTAATACAAGAAATGGCCAAGATCTTCAAGGAACTGGAAAAGCATTCTTTCATGAGTTTGAATTTGTTTTCAGTTCCTCTTTGGCATATATTACCCAACAACCTAACTGCCATCATGTCTGGGAGGTTTTGCAGGGATGGAAGAACAATGTGACATTTTTGCATAGATGAACTTAAAGGCAGTCTGTTTTTTCTAAAATAGCAAAATCCAGAAAAGAACTAACTTCCTTTAAGACGTTAATTATGCAACTAGAAGTCATGTTCCTTACGAGAAAAGATGATGTTCGAAGAAGGTTCAGATTTGGCAGTTGGGTCGCGAAGTAGATTTCACAGAATTTCTGTGTTTCATAGGATTTCTGTGTTTGCTATAGCTCCTATCTCTGTGGAGGCTACCTTTTGCCCAGTCTTCTTAGCGGTAAGAGATCGGTTTATTGTAAATGTTACTTTTAAGATTGGCATACTTATGTATTTAGACAAACATTGTCGAAAACCACATATCCATATGCTAAATGTATTCTTGATGCCAATTAAACTGTAACATATATTAGGTACAACTTCATGGTTTTTCAGTTACGGCAGCTTTGCTGATATGTGTGAAAGATTAGCAGCAACAATGTACAGCTTTGAATGTTGTCTGAACACTTTCCAAATAGCCATTTGTAAGCTTTTTATGGTTTTGAGTAATTTTTCATTTTTGTCTCAGTATAAAATAGTTTGACAGAAGGAATTCTTGAAGGTCAGGGTTTCCTTTTAAAAAGACAGGGAGAGAAACTGTGTAAGCATTTGCTGAAGTTGACTTTTTGCGTGTTCTTGAATCAAAGTATCCTATACTGCCATTCTTTCTAAACTAAAAAAAAAAAAAAAAAAAAAAAGTAAAAGTCTGTATTTGAGACTCAGTCTTCACCGAAACTTGTGGCTACCTGTCAGTGACACTTCGTGATGGACAAAGTGTACCACTATCTGACCAGAATGTCAGGCTGTCACACCAAGATTGCCCTGAGTGGGCATTTCTTATATCTCGTTTAATGTTTAAAATGTTTTGGGTTTGTTTTGTTTTGTTTTGTTTTTTTTTAAAAATAAAAATCTTTGAGCACAATAAATACCATGGACTTCAGTTTTATGCTGTTCTTGGTGTTCGTGAAGGGGAGCTCAGCCTGTGTATTTGACAGCAGTGCTGGAGGGCAGTCCTGAGTTCCAGCTGGGCTCTGCTCATCTGTGACTGGGATGCCTTTGACTCCTGTCTGAAGTGATAAATGCTTGCATGGCTTGATTTTTATCTCTTGTGTTGGAACTTAACATTAAAGGTCACTCCCAAAACCGTTTCTCTTCTGTTTTGTCTCTGCTTCAGTATTTGTAATGCTGGACTGTTTTACAGCAGTTGAAAGACGTAAAGGAATGTAGAAGACTTTATAGTTTCTCAATGAAAAACAGGAACAGGATGGTTTGGAATCACAAACCTCTTAACATTTGTTCTACTATAGAATAAAAGCAGCAAATGAGAAGATAAACAGAATTTTAAATATAGTTGAAACGTGCCAGGAACATTGGCATTCTTTCTGTGCATGTGACTGAATGAGAAGCATACTGAAGTGGGGATAGAGTAAGTGTACAGAAATTGCTTTTTGTAAGGAAGTACCAGAGAGAATTCTTTCCCTTACAGTAATTTCATTTATTGATGGATTTCACTCTTCTTACTTGATTTGTAACAAACAAGTATAGACTTTATCTGTAAATGGATAGTGAATTTAACACAAACTTCTGATTTCACTTCAGGCACCATGCTTCATTAAAGACCATATAGTAGAGCTTCTAACTAGCTAGTAGTGTCTAAGGGTTGTTTTGTTAAAGTAGAAATTCTTTAACAATTCTGCTATGAAGATGGGGGTGGATGGGAGGGCACTTTAGTTAGGTTTTAACAACTTTGAATCATTACTGAGATTTTACAAGATGTTAAGACAGCTGTCAAAGCGGACATTAAAATTAAATCTGTTAGCATTGGAGAACATAAGAAGTGTTGTTTCTAGACATTATTTTGATCCAAATCAGCTGTTTCTTCTGGATGCTTCCAGACATTTAGCTGATTGTCAGTTCCTTTGTGTTTTACCACGCTGTGTTCAGTGCTTGATTTTATACCCCACAATTTCTTTTGTTGACATTTATTTCCTCTTTGAACCAAATGTGTTTTGAATTAGGGAAGCACTGTTCACTTCACATACATGCTAAGATCCAACATTGGCAGGACAAGAAGGGGGATTTCTAAACAACTATTCAAATAAATTTCTTGTTCATACTGGTGCCGAGACCAAGTGGCACTTTTCAGCAAGTTTTTTGAGATACAGCGCACTGTTCTCAGCCCTTATTTCTGCTGTCTTTCAGCTCAAAGGGCATGTGTCAATGAACTCTGTAGGAACTGGATACGATTTTTACGCTTGAGAGAACTATTTAATCAACCTATAGATTATGAAGAATAATCTTAAGTAATTACTTTAGCATGTTGCATCTCATGAAGTAGGTAGAACAAATCATCAGACTGTCACGACCTCGAAGAATAAGCAGTTGTTTTTGGATGGTTCCTTATGATGCTGTGGTATTGTATCAGGTTCTACCATATGTCATTTCCTCAAGCGTCCTGGGAAACTATGATTCCCAAATGGTTCATATTCTAGAAGGGTCTCGATTTTAAAAAAAAAAAAAAAAAAAAAAAAAAAAAATTATGTATATTAAAAAAAAGAGAGCGTAACTGGTTTGGAGCTAAGAAGATAAGAAAAAGCAGTCAGTGGAGTTATATACTTTTAGATGCTTTACTTGAAATTTGGAAGGATTGTTCTGTTTTGTATTTCTTTGGCCTGTTTAATAGGGCTCAGTCATTGAAGCTGTGCCAAAGCGGAGGGAAAAAAGGATGCAAAAAGTTTTCTACGTTAGGCATAGCCATAGGAACTCGTAAACAACTTTCTGAACTTCATTTCCAGTGAAACTCTGTATCTGTGAAAATAGTTGTTAGAAGCCCTTCAGTCAAAGTTAATTCCCTTATTCTTACCTAACGGCCGTAGAGAAGGTGCTTAGGCCATGTCAACGTTAGTAAATCAAATGTGCTCAGGAACATTCCTGAGTGCTGAAGCCAAGTAGTGTGGAACAGCCCGTGTCTGTTCGTCTTAGCCTCCAAAACAAGGTGACCGCATACAAATTCCCTGCTGGGCACGGGCCCTGGGCTCTTCTGGCTGCTGGGCTGTGCCTGGGAGCTGCTCGGGGAAAGTGCTAGTTGGAACAGGCCAGATTCACGCCGCAGACTGTTCTAACAATTCACTAGCGCAGGCGGTTGCATTATAGTGTCTGGGAACAGTCCCAGCCATGCTCGAGTTTATTGTACAGCTGTACCCTTGGAGCAATCAAGGTCTCTCCTGTTTCTTACGCTGTGAAGGGAAAACATTACAAAACAAAATAATTCTATAAAAATTGTTCATTTAATTCTACTTTTTCATCTTGTTTCATTCTTTGACTGTTTATGATGCAGTATGTTGTTGTTTATCTTTAGTTCAGTTCTATCGTTGTAAGAAACCATTGGTGGAATTCAGCTCCAAATTCAAACACCTAAACGTTTTCTACCTGCGCAGAGGGGTCTGTCTCCTACTGCAGCCAGTAAAGCCTAGAGAATCATTTGGCTCATCCTAAAATAGCCCCTTATATTTGGTCAGCTGAATTACTCCTTATAATGCCATTCTCTTTAGCGGAAGCTTTGACACCTAGTTCATGTGTAGATACCTAAATAAAGGTGTCTGCATCCGGAGCATCCTTTTCTTCAGAATGTTTTCATACAGAGCCTGTACAGTTTAAATTCAAACCACATCTATGAAATCCTAATAAACTGTTTTTTCTATAAAGGCTTTAGGCTTATGATAAGAATTTTGAATGCTGATGGATAGTCTTATATCAAAATGGATTATCACTGGTTGTGTGATACTTCTGATTCTTCCTAAAACTATTGAAAAATTCATAGGGGTTATTTGTGTCCCTCTAGGGTTCAAATCCTGAGAGTTTATATGGTTCATATATGGAGCTGGATCTCATGTATAATGTCAGATTATTTCTAGCATGAATATTGCCTTGAAGTCTTTGACGGTGTTGAAGCACAGTGCAATAACTGTGTATGAAGTAAAGTTTGCAGATGCATTGCTTTTACATCGTCACTAACACAACTATTTTATCAATTGGCAGTAATCACACATTGTGTTTGCTGCAGGACGAAAAAGACCATGTTAGTCTACATATAGCAGCTAACGTGACTTTGCATTTCCAGTCTTTTTAAGTGCTATTCTGATCTCATAATACTGTGATTTAATGTGTATTCTTTGCTTAATACATAATTTATGTATATCCCCTGTAACTTGAGAGGTTTGTTGGTGTAACCCCTGCTTACAAGATAAGGAGCAAATCTATTGCTCAGTTTGTCAATGGCTGTATGGGAAAGTTGCTTCTAATGAAAATTGGTGTAATTGCAGTGATTGTGTTCACTCACATTTTGAAAAGTACAAAGCTGGTAGAACCTCTTATTGCAGTGATAGTTTTTGTGAAGTAAATATTCCTTAGAAATGTCTTGATCCTGAAGTTATGTGATGAGAAGTATATCTAAAGATAGCTGCATTTCTGTAGAACTGCAGGTAGAAGCTTAAGTTTGAGCTTAAGTATTAAACCGCTATTTACTGGAGACAAATACATGTTAAGCCCCTTGTAAGTTTACAAGTTAGACTTTAAGTGTGACAAAAAGGTCGTGTGCTCTGGGCAGAGCAGAGGAAGTAAAGATTTCCTTGCGATCCTTGGCATGTGATAGGTGTTTTGTCTTTTTACTTTGCAATGTTTTCAGCACCAAACACTGACCCTGCATTAAGCCACGAGATCGCAACTCTGACTGGCACAGCTCTTGTCCCAGTGAATGCGGTATTAGCTATTAGTTCCCCTCTGCTGAAGTTTACCAGTTATATAGTGATGTTAGTGAAGCAGAGTATGACATATGCTTCAGCTGCTACAGTTCAGTTCATCATCTCTTAATGCAGTTTCCTTCTTCCTCCTTTTTGAACAGATTCATGAAGCTTTTTGCACAGTTCTGTGTTAAGATATAGCGTATGCCAAAGATAGCAAATGAGAAACTTGGGTCTTAGCTCATTCGATGTCTAGATGTAAAACATTTTTAAGTTGTCCCTCTGCAATGTAAAACACCTTTTTAAGTTATCCTTCTGCAGTAAGCAGGTATAAATGGGATATGTAAAGAATCATAGTTTTATTCTTCAGTCTTCATGTAAACCATCTCTTCAAAAAGGTGCTATTGTGCATAGTTACCACAATAATGTTTGAGGAAATGTTGTCTGTGCAGTCTTGAGAGGGAGAGTGTCATCTGATGAGTAATCTAGTCATACAATTTCTGTAGTCATGTAACATCCTGGGTTTCTTCCTGAATGCACTTAAATACCAAACAGACTTGACTGTGTTCAGGAGCTCTGTCAAGATTGCAGCAAGCAGTATTACAGCCATTTTCAGTACAGGTTTTTATTTTAGGAAGGACCATATGATGAGTCCCTGTAAACTTTTCTTGTTTCAGATAACTATTTTATTGCTACACAATATAGCTAAAGCATCATTCTCCAATGCATAGTAAAATTTCATAATTAAAGAAACTCCAGGTGTGATCATTACACAGAAGTAAGAGGGGTTTTTTATTATTTTTAGAAATTAATTGTAGTCGTGGGATTAATGACCTGAAACACTAACATCTGCGGCATTCTTGATTTTTGCAAAGACTGGAAAGGAAAAATAATCTAGAAATAACTGCTTCTAATCATATAGGAGGAAGGGGAGGAGTTTAGTAGCTGATTGTTGAGATTTATTAATCCCAATAACATTAACACCCTCCCCCAAAAACAAGAAGACCCCCCCGTAACAACATGTTTTGTTAAATTAAAATCAGTTTAAATTTCTTATGCAATGATTTTGCCCATATTTCAAAATTGCACTTGTTACAAATTGTAAGAGTTTGTATCATGAAGATACTGAAATCACTGTGACAGCCAGGATAATGGATGGTACTGTTTTAATGATGATCTTAATGATTTTTTTTCTTCAGAATGAACAGTAGTTGTAGTATATTCTGTATACATAGAAAAGTGGCTATGAGAATTTCTCATTAAAATCTCAATGAAGGTGAAAAACAGTTGTTGCTTATTGTTTGGAAAGATTTTTCAGAAGCAAAACAATTTAATCAGAACTTACAGAAGTGCATATGGTGGTTTATGTTCTGGTAGACGGCCATGCTTAATTTTCCCAGAGAATTAATGACATTAAAGTATTCGGCAATATGTTTTTAAATGTAGCTGTATTACAGTTTTATGTTTCAGTAAAGTTACATGCTTAGGTATTTCATTTCATTGAGTAAGTATAAGAATCACAATTCTAGTCTAATAGCATCTAAAGAAACATCTCCAGACATGTCTATCAGCTGTCTTTGGAATGCTTTACAAAATGCAGCGTTTGTTCCATAGAGGTCTGTTTATGCATCAGTGAAATCTAGCTGCTGCATGTAGAAAAGGTTATGCTCTTGCAGCAAAGCACAGCAGCACTACCCAGTGATCAAGGCTTGAGTGCAAATTACTTGGCTTTCTCTGAAAGTAGAGTCTGAGGTAAAACATAATTTCCTGAAGGAGGACAAGACATCGCATTAATGCACTTGTTCTTGCAAAATAAAAATGAGCTGGTGCTTAATGAGAGTGTTTAACTGATAACATTTCAAAGTAATGAATGATACATTAAATACTCTACCAGCTTTGCTCTAAACAGTGAAATCTAACTTCCAAGAAACATTGTCCTTGTCTAACTGAAAAAGCTGTGTATAGGCAAAGTATATATCTCATAAATTAATTTCAGAAGTAAATTCAGAGTTTAAAAATAAAGTATTTCAAATAAATAAAAATCATTACATAGAAGGATAAGCTTCCAAGAAGGCGGCTTAGAAATGGTGCTCTTGTCTCATAAAACAAATTCATACTGCGTGGGTTTTGTTTGTTTACCCTGAATTTCTAGTTCTGAGTTCTAGTAGCAATTCATTTCTGCTTCTACAGCTGACAAAAAGCTCCTTGTAAAATTTACCTTTTAAAACTGGACAACAAGCAGAAATATCACAGGCTTTCAGGAATACTAGCAGTTAAATGATGCTTTGTATTATAGAAGGATTGAGACTGATAAATCTTTAAGTACTTAAAATAAAAAAAGAAAAAAGAAGAGAAATAGAATGATAATGTTCCATTCATTCTGGGTTCCCTCCACTCCTATCCTCATTGAGATTACACTAGTTCATAGGAGACAGTATTGAGAGGAGGGAAAGGCTTTCAGGAATACTAGCAGTTAAATGATGCTTTGTATTATAGAAGGATTGAGACTGATAAATCTTTAAGTACTTAAAATAAAAAAAGAAAAAAGAAGAGAAATAGAATGATAATGTTCCATTCATTCTGGGTTCCCTCCACTCCTATCCTCATTGAGATTACACTAGTTCATAGGAGACAGTATTGAGAGGAGGGAAAGAAATTCAAGGGCATCACTGGTGACTAAAGTATAAAGTAGAAGGCTGTGGAAAATTGCGGTTTTGTCCCTGAAATGGGATGCTGATGTTCTAATTTTTTTCCCAGCAAAGTTCATGCATTTAAGTTAATGTACCTGAAAGTTTTACATGTAGAATTTCATGTTAACCGTAAAAAACGAAAAGTTTTGATTTATTTTCAGCTGTGGGATTAGGATCTTGGTGCTTCCACATGACCCTGAAGTATGAAATGCAGGTGAGTATTGATAAGTAGCTGTGAATCATTTTATGTGTGTATCTCACAATATAGTCATATTGCCATTTCTTGACTAGATGAAACTCGTGTAACATGAGTTAATCTACCTTAAGTATCATTGTACATGACTCCTGCTCTCAACAAGAGTGGCATGGGTCTTGTTTCATTAGATATTTTCCACCGATAGATATACAGGAATATATACTTGCATCTAAAATAAGAGCTCTAATCGATTGCTTATGTTGGTAGAAGACACTTTATCTTTTTACTCAGGTTGTTATTTTAAAATTCCTACAGCTTTGCCTTAATAGCAAGCAGTATAGACTAGAGTTATTGTTATTTATTGTATCCTTTTTTTCATCTTAATGTTTTCTATTACGTTTTCTATTTATCTAGGTGTACCTGTAGCATTAATACTGAAGTCAGTATCTTCTGAGTAGCAATAGTTGAGTCTTCCTCTCTCTCTCTCTCTCTCTCTCTCATTCTCAAATAGAGGCATTCTGTAATAAATCACTGGGCATAAGGATTTGGTCCTGGTATTTCCCATTTTCTAAAGGGACACAAGGAGTCTTGTCCTGTTGTCCTGTTTTAGATCTGAGAAGACAGAGGAAATTCGTCTTTAAATCAAAGTCAGGGTGAAGTGGGACTCAGTTCAGAATTAAGAAACCTATATTTAGAAGTGTGTGCTGGAAGTCTGTGCTCCCACCGTAGTCAGTGGAAATACAGTTAAGTCAGTGGAGTTCAGAGAGCCAGTCAGCTAGGCTGAAGCATTTTCCAGACTCCATTGGCAGTCTTAACTTGAATAATATTCATTTTTCTGAATATAGGTGTTTAGTGTCATTTTAGACCTCGTGAGTGTTCTGTCTGGCCTCCAGCTGCCATCCCACAAAGGTGCAGGTCTCTTAGATCCCCGTGTCACATCTGCCAGTCTTGGGTGGGTGTATTGGAGGTGACAGAGCATCTCAGACGGCATTAGGCACCTATGCCATGGTGACTGAATCGAGTCCTGGATTTCTACTGATCATAATGGGACCTGAGACACTGTGTATGTGGACACCAAAAGTTAGGGTGTCTTAAACTTGAACTGAATTACAACCTGTAGTGATATTTGCCTCCATAATGCTTTGTTTCATATCTCTGGCATGTGCTGGAGACTGTCAACCTCCATGGAGCATACTGTTGCCACCATGAAAGAATATTATTGCTTTTTCTGGCATGAAAAAGATGGTTTCTAGATCCATTTCACCACTCCCTCCCAAATTGGTGTGTGATTTACCTATATTCTCTTCAGTGGTGAAACTGCCTTGAATTTCCACCTTTTTATCTCTCTTCCCTCAGCTGCTTGTTCCTAACCCTGCCAGTGTTTCAAATCCTCGTTCTTACACTGATGCAGAGGTGAGCAAGGCCACCCTGAAACCCAGATCATTAAAATGATCCAGGCTTAAAACATTCTTATGTGGGTTGGGTTTTTTTTTTGTGTGTGTGTGTAGAGGCTATTTTAGTCCAAGTCACTTTGATGCTACTTACCATGTAGTTATGGTGTTGCATCAGAACAACTAAGGGGCCTATGAACTGTGGTAAGTAAAGGGCGGACAGAAGCAGATGAGAGGGGAGCAAGAATGTCTTGCGTCATCTTTCCAACTGGTGTAAAAGACTTCCTGTGAGGCAGAGAAAGTACGCTTATTATTTTGGCAGCCAAGTGAAATCTGCAAGTGGCCCATAATTACTGTGATTGCTAGCTCAGGAATCACCATAGAGGAAACATTTCAACCTGTAAATAATCTTTTCTCGTTCACTTTACCTCTTGTTATGATTAAAAGTCAGCATTGATAGCTGTTCGAAGAGGTTTTTTTTTTTTTTTACATTTGTTTCACAATCTTAATACTGTAAATGGTCAATTCAGATTGCTTAATTAAGAGAAATGTGAAAGCTTCTGTTCTTGAAAGCAGCTATTTAGAACACTTCTGAAGCAATCACCTCTCTTTTTCTCTTATTTTTATGGGAATCTGCTTGATTGTGCTTTCCTCAAGAATCCAAAATGCTTATTTAACCAGCAAAATCAGCTCACTGAGTTTCCTTCTATCCATGTTTCCTTTATTCTTCAGACATGTTCAGACACGCTGTTGACAGCATTTCTGGAAGCATTAATTCCTTTGGATACAGAAGCCATTGTCTTCTGCAAGCAAATTCTAACTACGATCTTTTGAGAGGCTCTTTGATGTTACTGTTATGTCCCTGAGATGCTGCCAGCATATGAACTTAAGAGTGTAATCAGCTGTCCAAATTTGAAAAATTTTGCTATATTGTATTTCTTGTTCTTTTTTCTTCCCGTTTTCTTTTAGGAGCCCTTAAATGACTGATGCTCTTAAAGAGCTGCATGAATTAATCCTGCAGCTAATTCCTATCAGACTTGGTAAAGCATCTCACTGAACTTATAAATAATAACTATTAGTATAAAGGCTAAATTCAGCTATTGCTTCTATTTTTTCCTCTCTAAGGCATCACAGCAAAGATAAACTAATGTGTTGGCAAGGTACCACCTAACATGCCTGTTAGCTGCAGCTGCCATCTATGTTCCTGATACTTTCTTTGTGCTACCTATTGTCGTCCCTGACCCTATAATGCACAGATTCAGGGATTTAAACCTTTTTCTGCAAGGTTAGTTGTGTGCTGGATCAGCTATTGGAACTGGCTCACCGTGGGTCAGGCGAGCATGACTGCCTCACGCGAGAGAAGCAGTGGGAGCGTGGGTGAGGAAGCAAGACCCGCCCATTCAGTGGCAGCTAGTCAGTAGATCGGTTTAGCAGTATTGTGAAACATTTCCTGAAGTTTCCATGACCGAAACGACGAAAAGCTAGTAGTTCACACTCAGGATAATACATCTCTCTCCTTCTGTAAAGAACTAGATCACTTTTTTTCCCCCCGATACGAAATTTCAAAACTAAATTAGAAAGTTTTTGCTTGTGCAGTTAGAAAAATTCTTCCAAACCAAGCAGAACCAGGCTGGCTTTATAAAAGGGTTTGTGTAAGCTGGTATTGCTCTTAATGTGTCTCATTATTCAGAAAAACATGGTTGTGAACTCATTAAGTACCCAGTACCGGTAGTAGGAAGGTAATTTCTGTACAGGCATGGCCATCAACAGCTTTGAGAGTGATGATGGAAAAAGATCAAAATCTTGTTTGCATCTAGTTCTTGAGTTTCTTAGGAAAGAGTCAAACCTGGTGTAACAATTCCAAGATGCCTGACTATTAACGTTTGCTTAACATATGAGAAATCAGAGGCAGTGGATCTTCATTGATCCATTTGTATGCTTTTGCATTTTCATGATTTTCAGTCCTTCATAAGAGGAGGTAAGTTTCACTATATATTTATGAGCAGAAATTTGTTAATATTCTTTGAGAAAAGTTTTAGAAGAAAATGGTGCTATGATTTTTACTTTTTTTTCCCCTCGATAAATAAATGGCAATTTTGAGCGTACCTGTTCTTGAGAAATCACCTCTCGTGTGATTACTATTTTAATTCCATCTCCATTAAGGTGGCAAGTTCCTCGCGAAATAACTGTTTTAGCTGTAACATGCCAGTTTTCTCCCAAAGTATAAAAATTATTTAAGGCAATAAAACATTATATGGCAGTCATAATTTGGGGGGGGGGGGGGAGAACCCCACAACAAACAAACAAACAGAAAAAACTGTCTCTGAATTAAAACAATGTAAGAAATTTCCAAAATTAGGAAGTAAACATGCAAGCACATCGCAAGGTGCTTCCTAATGGGCTGAAGTTCTATTTTATATTATGGAAAAAAATTATTTCAGTTTCTCTGTAAAGTTTGTACAGAAGTAAGAAAAGGCTACTGGCTGTATTGAGCAGGCTATAAATGGGGTGGTCTTATTCAATCTGACTTTACAAAACTAATTCTTATAAATGTTTCAAGAGGTATGAACAGTGAAAACGGCATGATTCTTGGAAGGCGTGGGCTTTTTATGAAACGTAATATTCAAAAGGTTCAGAGTAATAAGCTTATTAATGCAGCAAGCTTTCAGTAGCTGAGTATGATTTGACACTGCTGTGTACTGAAGTACAGTCAAGAAGGTGGATATCCAAATGACTTAACTCCTGTTTTCTTCAGACTTATCTCTCCTTAATTAACTTACACAAGCGTGTGAGTTAAAAGTAGTTTTCACATTTTGATGTCTCTGCTTTTTGTAGCTGTTGGATGAACTGCCAATGATATACAGTTGTTGTGTGTTTGTCTACTGCCTGTAAGTATTTGTTAAATGGTTTTTTTCTGAACATTTATGAAATATTAACTTTTGAAATGTAGAATCTGTGAAGCCCAGTCTCGCGTATAGTGAGGCTGACACTGAAGCTTCTACTGATCTCAGTGAGATCTCAATTTTGCTAACAGGAGAGCATTATGACTTAGCTATTAGAGCACCAGGCTGGCTTTAGTCCTAGTTTTTGCAAATTTCAGATTTCTGGTTAAACCTGGAAAATTAAAGAAAAAAAGATTTTATGAAGAGTTGAGTGCATATTATGTGGAGAGTGTCTTGGAACATGCGTGGCAGCTTAATGGCATGCCAGGATGTTTTCTCCCATTTAATTTTGGGAGCGTGTAGCATTTGGTGACTATAAAGATACTGTAAGTTGGCTTTTTCTTGCCTGTTGCTGCAAGGCCTGGATTTAATGTGATTTGTTCTGTCACTTGGAAAATCCAAATGATAATCAACTTGTTGCAGACAAAAAGACAAAAAAATTGTCTTTGCTTTTGAAAATAAAAAATATTCAGCCGTTTAAAAGTGGAATATCTTTGGTGAAGATTACTGGTATCTTGCAAAGGAGATGGGATGCTATAGGACTAAACCCACATCTGCGGAAATTACCATCAGTTTGTGATTCATGCATTAGTATGATTTGTGCAAACTCAGGACCAGAATCATAATGCCTCTGTTAGTGGAAATATTTCCATTGTAGCTCCCTATCTCCTTGAAATTGCCTTTGCATTTATTTTGTCTGATTTGAATGTGATTGGGGAAAAGGATGAGAAGTGGCTATAAAAATCTGTTTAAAAAAATAATTGTGCTTATTTTGTGCAATGGTTACTCTATTATCTTCAAAAGCACTGAAGTCTTACTGCGTTTATAGCTCTAATAAGATTCTGTGTATGTATGTTTGGTAGTAATTAAAATGTTCTGAAGAATGAGCTAATGTTTCATTTAGGAGGCCTTTAATAATCATTTTGGTTTTCTTGAAGGTAGGTGGCAGGGTGGTTCTGCACAGGACATTCCCTTATACATCATTCAGTCCTACTGACTCTCAAGCTGTGCAATTACTTTGGCAAGCCATTTCGCAATATAGCACATTGTGCCATCTTGTAGAATTTTTTTTTTTCCCCATATATTCCTACATGTTTTTTCTTTGTTTCCTTTTATTCATCCGTGATGGTGTCTGTTTCCAAAAGTTCATAAACAAATAAACTAGGTAGATGTAACTTGGAGTTACATAGAAAACTTTCTCTAGCCCTAATGATTTTGTGCTTCTCAAAGCCTATTTTTGTTGCGTTTTTTGGACCCTTTTTCTGGTGGAGATACGGTCTGGAATGTGTGTGTGTAATTCCATCACAACTGTGACTGAAGTGCAGTGTAGAGATTGCGAAGCTACTTTTAATTAGTTGTTTTACATACTGGCAGCAATTAGCTGTTTTTACCTTACACTTCTTCCAGTACCCAATCTAGCAAATGTACTGCACTCTGACTGTAGTAAAGCCATAAACAATCTGCATTTTAACAGATCTCTAGAGTTCACGGTTTTGTAAGGCAGTCCCTTTCCCATGCTGCCTTTAGCTCACAGATGTAATGTTTTTTGGCAGCTGTATTGCATTTTAAACTCATTTCTAATTTGCCATCCATTATCACCCCTTAAGCACCTTCTGAAAATGCTTCTGCTTCCCAAACTCTTTCCATTGGCTGGGTTATTTTTTGTATATGCATAAGCTTATTGGGTTTTTTTGTACTAGATTTTTTTAAAAACATTTATTGGTAAAAGTATGAATTTTTATATTAAATGACACCTCTCGATTGGAGGAGCTACAATTTCTTGAAGGGCCTAAGACTCATTTGGATCAATTTTCTCACAAATTTTGTGATAATATACCTTGAAAAATGCATCCTTTATATGGTAAGTGATGAATGTTACCGCTCTCCTTTATGTTCTGTTCCAGGTATGAATGTTTCAAGTACAAGAACACAGTCAATTATCCACTGCTTTTCTTGTTAATAACATACAGCTTCGTAGTCAGCATAGTAAGTAACTTTTTCTAATACGGCATTTTCACCTGTAGGTTGACAGTTTTCTGGCCAGTGAAGGAATGTTATACAGGCAGTACTGAATCTCTCTCACTTCCAGTCAAGAAAGACAAATTATTCTTTTGTCAGAAAAATTATGTGCTGGCCAGAGAAACCTGAAACCTTTCTATCTAAACCACTGTATAGAATAAATGAAGAAGAAAAGCAGAAATCCAGTTGCTAGAATAGGAATGTGAGAAAAACAGTCACCCTTGACTTGTTGTGAGACCTTGGACAAGCTGCATTCCTCATCTTCCCTCACTTTAATTAATCTACAGAAATAAGAATAATCCTGTTCAACAGACTGCAAAAAGTGAACTGCGATACACAGTCCAGGATATTGACTGGTGTTTTAAAACAACAGCTGGAATAAGAAAGGAGCTCAGCTGTTAGAAAAATTAGAAGAATTTTAACTGTGTCATGGCTAACTTGATTCCCTTTCTCAGTGTAGCGTGCTCCCTTTATGAATAAAATGAGTTTTGTGCTGGCTGCCAACCACAGAAGGAATCTCCTTCATTATTTTTATTGACAATAATTTCTTAAAAAAAAAAAGTAGTATTACAGGCCATCTTCTGCTTTCAAAATACTTGCCTGTTCTCTTCTGTGCCTCCTAAAATTTTTTACACTTGTGGCATGTTATTTCTAAGGTCTAGTGCCCTTCTCTCTTCAAAAACAGAAATTAAATGAGCTGCATTAACAATAGGAAGAACTACTAGCTCTTTGTAAAATGAACTGAAATGTTCAAGCATTGTCAAAAACAATAATAGCAAATGAAAGTAGAGTACATTATTTTCTTGAAATGCGTATCGAGAATGTGTCTGGTAATTTCTGCATCTTAATTGGTTTTGATTGTGTTGCAACTCTATTAAATGAGGAGATTTTAGATGTTAGTGTCTCTATTTGTGCTTCTTAATTTAAAATAATTCCACAGTTAAAACCTCAGGTTTTGCCAGAGGAAACTTCAAATGTTTAATCAACTTTAATGGTGCATGGATAGGCACTTGTGTCTTGATTCTAACAAAACAAGTCTTGGCAATATTTAGATGAATAATGTTATGATCGTTCTCTGTTGCAAATTATTTCTCTTCTTTTAATCTTTCCAGGTTTACTTAAATTTGAAAGAGCCTGTATTCCATCAGGTAAATCTTGCTCTGTTGGAGAAGCTAATCTTGTTTTTAAACTATGCTGATTTAGTGGAATGTGTTACAAGATTTTATAGTTGGAAGGAAGATGGAAGGCAAGCACAATTTGCCTTTTGCTTTTTCTTTAAGCAGTATTGCTGCCTGTCATGTTGCCATCCTCTTACTTGGTGACCTGAAAAGCTGGAATGGTTTAATGTGTGTTGTGTTTTAGCATTTGACCTAATATTTCACACGGTTTTCATCAGTGGCAAGTGTAACAAGGTGACCCTCGCTATGGGCTAAGGTATGTGTGAGAGGGAGGGCTTAATGAGTCCTTGTCCACTTCTTTCCACTAGTAGCTGCTGTGAAGCTATAACGTGATACCGTGACATGGCTTCGGTGACTTAGCACCATGTTCTCCTCTCCATTTTAACATGTTAGTTTGGGGGTTTTTTAAGTACTCAATTTTACTTTGTGTAAATTCAAGCTGAATTTGAACACAGAATCTTCTAGGGTTAGCAGGCTGGTTGTTACGGTCTTACAGGCTTAATGGCACATTTGGTACAGGTTCCTTTTGTAGTAGCCCAAGAGTACGAATGTGCATCCGCTGCCTGTGGGGATAGGACTTGTATCACTTGCCTCTTCCCAGGAGGTTAGAAATCATGCTTGTTTATGCATGCCATGAGTAGTTTTCCCTCTTTTATGATTTTTTTATTAGGTATAACAGATGAAAAATTGACAAGCAAAAACACTGAGCTCTTTGGAGGCCAGAGCTTTAAAGCCTTAATTTCTGAAATTGGTAGTGCCATTGCTTGTCAAAATGTGCCTGCTGCATCAGCAGTTGTAAAAATGATACGTGATTCCTGTTGGTGGATTAGTGAAGCACTGATGAATAAAATAAATTCCCAGCCGCTCCGAATAATCTCTCCTAGAAAAATGAATTGTTACTCTACCTATAGATAAAAAGAGAAACTTGCAGGGTTTTTTTGATAATGTTAATTAAATCCTTTCTTTTTTTCCCCTACTTACCTTTCCAGCAGGAAGATCCTGGCTGGGGTGAAAGCAGCAATTTCTGATGCTTTTACTGAGCTGATTATAACTGGTTTTGAATGAAGTGACTTAAAGTAATTATGTTAACAACAGTGGCAGAATTTACTACTGATACTGGACTTTTATTTCTTTAATGAATTATCTACTCAAGCTACATTTATTGCAATAAATATATCACAGCTTCACTATATTCCAGTTTGATGCATTGACATAGGTATTGTCCCCTGTCACAGGTGCTAAGACGATAAATATTATGACTTGTCGGGAAAGACGGAAATAGGGAAACTTTAAACTGTTGCCCCGGACCTTTAATTTTTTGCATCTGCTTTCTCTTAGGTTCAGAATATGAATTCCCTGTTATAATTTATACATGAGGAATCAATGTAGAAAAGATTTAGGCTCATAAAAGTGCTGGACTTTTTACAACAACTCTTTCCAAATTGATTTTTATGGAGAACATACAGCTATGGCCAAATTCCAAACATTCAAGTACTGCACTCATTTTTTCAAGATCTTTGCCAAATATGTTGTAAATCCAGAGGAAACTTTTCTCTGACTGCACAGCTAAGCAAGATTATTTTCTTAATACTTGTCCTTTATTTTAGAGTGCACCAAAAAGAAAAAAAAATCTCAATATAATTTCAGTAAGTATTTTCCAACTGAATGGGTCACATAGACTTGAAGTAAAGTTAAATATGCTTGTGCAATCATAGTTTAAATCACAGTCGCAGTCCTCAACTGTATTGGAAAGCAGCATCAGGACATAAAGCAGCATTTGATTCCTCTAGGTATTTGTCTGTGATCATCATCATTTGTCAGCCTTGCAAAAAGGGGAATAACTACATGGACAGCTTTATATTGTTCATTGTTTCAGTGGGGTTTTTTCCCTTAAAGGAGAGTAATAAGAATGGAAAAGGATCCTATTATATTTAGTAGCCAAGATCCAAACCTCATTTTTCAGTGAATTACTTTCTACTTTCCTTCCCAACTTAGGCTCATAAATTGCTTACTGCCGGCAGGGCATGAAGGAGATTTCAGTTTGTTATTCATGGCACAGTGGCAACAGAGACCAACTTCTTTTTCTCCATCTACATACTGCAGATCTTTAACGGTCTTAGTGCTTTAACCATAGGAGGGATGAGATGCACATTTCGGTCAGTTGGAGGCTACACATCATTAGAAGGAAAAAACCACTTCCCTGCCTGACAACTGATCTGGTATTTTTTGCAGCTTCATCAATTAAATGAAAGATAGCAGTGGCCTTTACAAGCATGTATTGTCTTGTTTATGTCAAAATCTCTCAGGCTAGAGCACTGTTATTACCTAATTTCCATGGTGCTAAACAAGCCTACATCCCAGTTTCCTAGTTGTTTTTAAGCCAGCATCATTGTCAAAGAAAACAACTATGCCTCTGCCCTCTTTCCCATCTGGCACACAAATTTACTCTCTTATATGAATTTGATTGGGGAACTGAACAGGTTAAAAGTCTCCTCAGAATTAGTTTTGTGTCAGATTAGTTGCTCGTCCCTGTTTACCGCATGTGTATTTGTGCTTACACAAGGAAAGGGGTAGGGGAAGACTGGCTGCTGGTGTGGAGTGATCCATAGACAGGCAAATATAAGACAGCACTGGAAATAGAAGAAATTACCATGGCAGTTAAATTTTTAGACTCAGATCTTACAAACAGCCTTCTTTCTAATATGATATGGCCCAGAAAGCTGTCACCTAACAAAATATTGTTTTCCATCCTGATTTGTTTACTTGCTACATACCATATGCTGGCTATACACTTGAAGTGATCAAAAACCTCATTCAGCTAGTGGCCCAAGTTATGTGAATAATGAATTAGATCTAAAAACCTGTTTTATTTGCATAGTCAGCTGCTGCAAGAGTTTGAAGCAAATTTTAAGCGAACAAATAATTAAAAGGTAAATAGAAAATTAGATTAAATGTTCAGGCTAACCTGATTTTTTTTTTTTTGGTAGCTTTTTCTTCTACATTAGGAAATGTGATTAAAAAAAAGTCTTTTGTATAGACATTCCAGAAGTGTTGTTATGGTGTCCCATGAGAAACTAAGCAAGCTGGAGAAGTAGATCAGTATGAGAACTGCAAATAGGGTAAGGGACTGACTAGTGGAAAATGGCTAAAGGAGATGATGAAAGGCAGTCTCAGTCTGGACTTTCTTGGGATCAGTAGTGGGACTGTTTTTATTTAATGGCCTGTAGCAGGAAAAACAGAGTTGTGTACTAGAATCATAGAATCATTAAGGTTGGAAAAGACCTCTAAGATCATCGAGTCCAACTGTCAACCCAACACCATGCCCACTGAACCATGTCCCTAGGCGCCTCATCTACACGTCTTTTAAATACTTCCAGGGATGGGGACTCCACCACTTCCCTGGGCAGCCTGTTCCAAGGCCTGACCACTCTTTCAGTAAAGACATTTTTCCTAATGTCCAGTCTAAACCTCCCCTGGCGCAACTTGAGGCCATTTCCTCTCGTCCTATCGCTTGTTACTTGGGAGAAGATTATACTGATGGTATTTGTGATGATACAAAGTTCACAACATCTGGGTACAGAGGAGGAGATGAAGGGATAACTGGGAGACCTTGAGGACTAGGTTGACAGATGATTCAAAATGGAAGAGCATGCACTGATGGGCAAATACCAACTGTTCTTGTTCTAAACTGCACATAGACCACCAAAGGAGGGAGGGAGTGAGTGCCTGGATGTGTTCTCTGATCACAGTGTAATAATATGACCAGTGAATTTTCTGCAACAGTGATAGAAGTAAAATACAAGTATTGGATTTACCAATTAAGGTGACTTTGGGTAAGAGGGAGACAGTGAGTGTGGGAGAAAAAGGTATTTCATTTGCTTCCATGAAAAAATTAAGAATATTGTTCTCCACGGGTGTTTTAAATATATGAATGCAAAGAAGGAAGTGCAATCACTATGAAATGAGTATGTAGAAGTACATATGAGAGCCTGAAACTGCATGAAGAATATGTTATGTCAGGGTACAACCTGTTCAAACTGACAGGACTCCCCATTTTGGGGAATCTACATGGACCCACTCGATGTCCTACAGCTCTCCAGAGTCCCTCCTGCTGCTAAGGCACGGACCCACTCGATGTCCTGCAGCTCTCCAGAGTCCCTCCTGCTGCTAAGGCAACAGTTAGTTGTAGGCTTGTGGCTTAATATATTGTGCCTTTTAGAGGAACGTGTTGTCTTACTTTCTACATGTTCAGGTTGACAAGCAGTCTGTTGAAAATGACCTTTTCAGGGCATGTCTTCACCACAGAGCTTTTTCTACTTGGGCATTGTCCTACTGAAGACCACGTATGAAACTAATTTAAGTGACAGGTGAAGGGTCTAGAGAACAAGTCTGATGAGTAGCGGCTGAGGGAACTGGGACTGTTTAGCCTGGAGAAGAGGAGGCTGAGGGGAGACCTCATCGCGCTCTACAACTCCCTGAAAGGAGGTGGTAGCGAGGTGGGGGTTGGTCTCTTCTGCCAAGTAACCAGCGATAGGACGAGAGGAAATGGCCTCAAGTTGCGCCAGGGGAGGTTTAGACTGGACATTAGGAAAAATGTCTTTACTGAAAGAGTGGTCAGGCCTTGGAACAGGCTGCCCAGGGAAGTGGTGGAGTCCCCATCCCTGGAAGTATTTAAAAGACGTGTAGATGAGGCGCTTAGGGACATGGTTGAGTGGGCATGGTGGTGTTGGGTTGACAGTTGGACTTGATGATCTTAGAGGTCTTTTCCAACCTTAATGATCCTATGATTCTATGATTCTATGACATTTCACTCTGTTACACAGCTTGTTTGGGGATGTCTTCCAGAAAGTGAATACAGCTTTCATTCTGGCTAGTACCTCTACCCGCACTTAGGGAGTGTGGAAAGGTGTTCAGAATCTCCAAAGGATCAGCTCTACAAGTGATTGAAGGGGAAGCTCAGTTTAGTGCTTGCTGGTACAATTCTTCATCACTGACATTTTGCCTAAAAAGTGCATGTCTGGAACATTAGACAGTGTTCCAGAAGCTCTGGAGAGCTGCTCTGTGCCATGCAGCAGCAGTGACTTATGTGTTGCTTTGCCATCACGTATGTGCATCTAAGCAAGACCAAACCAAGTGAATCTGAATTAGTTCATTTAGGAGCTGTCAGGACAGCATGTAGTACTAAACAGCCATAACTGTGTTGAGTTACTTGGTGTTTCAGTGTCATTGTGGGGATTGTCCTTCCTTTTTCTCTCTGCTCAGATTTCTTTTCCAGAAAGCGAAGAACATATAGAACCCTGTTTTCTTTGTTGTGAATTGCAAATACAGTTTCCAGCTTCAAATACTTAGGCTATTTTTTTTGATAGCTGGTTAGTATATTAATAGATAAGCAGTGGTCGCCAAGAACGCAAAATCTCTTAGTGCGGTTCCCAATGTGTACACTAATATTTGAGGCTGGTAAATTGACTTTATTAACCAAGGATGGGCAGAAGGCCAGGAGCAGAGGAGACAGAAGTGGAAATAGCAGGCTATTGCTGCTTTCTGTACTAGAAGGGTAGATGAAGAACCAGTTTTGTATGCTCCCCCCAGTGTGGAGTACCAGCCTTGCCTCTGACTTGCATAAGAAGTGAATCTATATGATTTGCTTAACTGCCTCCACATCAAAAATGCTGCCAAACACCGAACCCTGAAACGCTTACTTCCTATTTGTGAATTAGAATTATGTTCTTCATATTTGGCCGCCTTATTGGGTAATCCACTGTGTAGTAATCAGACTTTGGGGGTTTGCCCATTGCAAAGATACGGGCTTCAAAGCTGAAATACATGCAGCTTTATTTGCATCTTAAACAGCAAAGAGGGAACTGTCTAGTGATAACAAAAGATGATGAGATTCTGCTGTTTCCTTTTGTTTCAACTGTAGTGCAAGGGTGTTCTTTGGCTTACAATTTAAAGGCACTATGAGACAAAATAGCACAAAACTTACTTGGGTTTTCATCTGTCACTTAAGTGATGTGTTAGTTAAAGAGGAAGAACAAAGGGAGCTAAAAGAATTGAAAAATTTGAGTCAACTTGAATAAGGTAGATTTTTTTTTTTTTTAATTATTTTGTACTTTATCCTTCTTTGGGTGGATGGATAATACCTAACAAATTTTTGGCATGATGAAAATAGTAAATCCATGCGTGGTAAAGGAGTAAAAGTAAGCACTGCTCCCTGAAGTATAGACTAAGTTATGTAGCTCAGTTTATAGACCTCTAGTAGGAAACAGCTGTAGCAAGATGTGCAGCTACAGTCTCTGCATATCACAGCAACACCTCCTCGATGCTTGCCTTCGGCGTGAAGGGGAGGACTGGAGCATGCAGAGCAGAACAGTTTGTTGTTCTAGTCTTTCACAGTCTTTTAAACACAAATGTGTTTTACTGCTAACAACCTGTTTGTGTGGGGGAGCGGAAAAGGCAAGAAATTGAAGTGTCAACTGTGGGCATATTTTTCTTCAGTCACTGCAAGGTTCTTTTTATTTTTTTCCTTCCTCCCTCCATTAAGACTGTCCTCTTCTGCAAGCCACTAAGCAACTCACTAGGAGATACCAAGCCAGAGGCTCTACAAAGAAAGCTTTTCTTAGCTTTTGCTCTTTCCTGCTTTTGGCAGCTGCTGCAAAAAATAGCATTTTTAGCCTGTGTTTTACCTGGGCTTTGGTCTGCCTATAAGCCGTGTTTCTCTAGGCGTAGTCTGACACTATTTAACTCCTTGTACAAGCAACTCAAGAGCAAATTGGATAAAAGCATGAAGGTGGTCACACCCCTAACGAGTATGATAGAAATTTCTCTTCATGGGTAGGTTTTTCCTGTGTCTCTGCTACAGAAGAGCATTTTAGCAATGGAAATTGTAGGAGGGAGGAGATCAGCAAGGAAAGGGCATCAGACTCTGGTTTGGGTTCCGGAGGAGCCTTTCTGTGAGTTTCTTCCTCTGCGCCATCCCGCTCTTAGAATAAATTACTGGATTTGATTAGGAAAACGAAACAGGCTGTTTCAAATGAGACTGATGAAATAAAATGGCATTTAACTTTTAAATTTAGTCTGTATTGTTATATGGTGGCATCTTTTTAGGCAAAATATCAGCAATGAAGAATTTTATCAGCATGCAGCACCTAGCACACCTGAGCAGTCCCCTTTCTACCTTTAGTCTGGGATTGATAAGCACTTGATACTCAGGCTGTGTCTAGCGGGTTTTGTTGTTCCTCCCCCGATTTATGTGCTGTACCCCAGCAAGGAGACTGGAATTAGCTAACAGTTTTGTATAAAGTACAAGCCAGAAGCAATTAGCCTTTCAAATAGTTTTGCTTTGTTTAGCTCTACAGAGCAGAACACACAGTAGTAGTAGTTTAGTTACTGAAGTTATTTGATCTCACTCTGAATGCAAATAAAGAGCTGCTGTGCTGAATGACTTTGCATAGTCAATATTGGAGCTTACGTTTACCTGTTGTCAAACATAATGGCTCTGTTGTCTATCTTGTTCTGTATATATGCACTGATAATATGGTGTGTGCTACTAACCTCATCCTTAAAGCTAAAAGGAGTTTGAAAATTTGCCTTTATGGACTTTTGAAAGATAGGTTTCACTTTGCATTATTACAGCAATCTGTTTTATGTCAGATAACTAGACACGTCCATATGCTTGTGGGATAGTAATAGCTGAATGCCCCGGTTACAGCAGAGTAAGAGGTTGTCCTTGCCTTGAAGACAATGTAGCCTAAAAGAAGGAAAGGTATGAGGAGGTCAGTGGCACATGGTAAGGACACTGGTTTGTAAACACACCTCTGTGAGGTTTAGTGGCTTTTAAAAATAGGCAGCAAAAAGGTTTATCATTTTTCTGTTTCACGTAAAACAAGGCAGCATTAGATAGGGGTTAACTAAAAGCAAAATGAGAAAGGAAAGTCAGTGAACAAGGAAGAGAAAAAGAGCGAGGGGGTTGTGGGCCACTGGAGAGAGGCAAAGGGCAAGGCACAACTGCTTAGAACAAACTGCCTTTTGGCAGGAGGTAAACAGTGTTCAGAATAAAAAGCATGGAGAATAATTTAATGTCACCAGTGTCTGAAAATCCTCCCTGCTGCAGTGGCTTCTGCATCACTTTTCAGGCATGACTGACCACATTTCTTCTCTTCTTTAGTCTGTACATCATGGAGATAGTGTTATGTGGATCCTAAGCTTGTGAATAAAAAAAGGGGAGAGTGATTTAAAGATCACGAGACAGAAAATAAATGATTACTTTGACTTTTTATGTAAGTCAGGCAATTACATTCAAATTCATCAAGCCTACTGTGAGCCAGATTTTGCTCATGGATCTTTTCAGAGCGTGCAGCCTTCCCACTGTATAATTAGATTGAATCCTGACAATCTGTAATAGTTGGGTTTAAATGCTTCCTGGAAAGTTTCTTCCATACTGATGCTCAGTGTGGACATAGTACATAGTCTATTCAGGTGTTTGCTTTCAGGAAAAAATATTAACCAAATACCAGTGAAGGAAGTATAGCTTTCAAAAATGGTTTTAGCTGATGCTTATGCAATCCCGGGCCAAAATGCACAGATACAGAAGAGATGATAGGAATTAGTTACCATTTTGATTTCAGGATGCTTACTGAGTGCCATCTAGTGTTTGCTTTCTAATTCAAAAAAGTGAAACAGTGGTTTTACACAACGGACTTTTCCTGTAATTGCATAAAGGGCATGGTTTATAATCATACTTTTATTTGAAACTTTTATGGAAGACTGTCTGGAGAGGAAGTTAGAGGGGATACTGTTTTCCTGAGGCTAAGAAATAAAAATCAACAGAGCCTTCAAAAGTTTTTTACTCCTGTATAAAGTCTTTTGAATCCAACTGCTGAATTTTATCTCTGTTTTTATTTCCAGATCATGTATGGAACGCTAGTTTCCATTATAGTTCTACGATCTGTTTATATAGTATTATGGTAAGTAACCATTTAGTTCAGCATTATAAGATATAACTTAGCATTTGCATCTTTTTTGGTGGGCTCAACATGAGAAATTGGCAATGGCAAAATTTCTTTAACTAGGTACATAATGCTAGCTCATGTGCTCTGCTTGGTTGAAAGGGAACGGCTCGTCTCCTTGCATTTCTTTGAAGCCACTGGGATAACATTACACAAAACAGATCTCTACTCTTATGATCAGTGTTCACTGCCAGGTGTTCTGCTAGCGGCTTCAGTTGTTAGCCTGGAACGTCAAGGGGAATGGAGTTTCTGTCTTTATATTGCTGGGTAACGCCTGAAATCTGTTGCCAGTGTCCAAAATCTAATGATGATACTTGGAGAGAGGCAAGAGTAAGACTGCAGAGCTGAACCATCGGTTAATATTTTCCTCTCCTCTTCTCTATCAAGTATCTAAAATTTGAATGTAAAAGATAATAACACAGAAGGTTAAATGATAGTTTTCCTTACAGTTTTGACTGGATAAAGTTAGGTATACATTATGGAAATTGAAATAAAAACTATTTATAACAAACAAAAGGATATTAGAAATGCTAGGAGTCATTGAGAAGCATTAGAATCATCAGGGCACAGACTTCGTGGGTAAAAGTGAAGAAAAAGTGAAGAAAAGAATCAGTATTGGAGTAAACACATACCTTTAGTTTTCAGGGGCTCAGTTGGTTGCCCCTTCCTGTCTCTCCCCTGTGAATAGTTGGTGTTCTCGTGTGTTTGGGGATTGCCCCTGAAAATTACTGATTTCTCTCTACTGTCTTCATTCTAAGTGTGCTTTTTGTTAAACTTTGTTTCGAGTTGCACACGTATCTGTTCAGGAACACAAGGAAGAATTTAACAAAAGATGTGAATTTAAAGTAGATTCATTCAATGGCCTTCCAATTGCAATTTCAGTTAATTTGGTTTGACTTTCCCCAAGAAATCATTGCAGACCAAATGTAAATGTTCACAGTCTTTTATTAAACAAGAACTTAAAACATAGCGTGTTGCTCGCAGCTTTAGAAACAATCACCAGTTTAAAGGCACTTTTCAAACTCATGAACATGGAAATTTTAATCCTAACCTTCAGATCTTAAGTGATATTACCTTAATTCACTTCCAAGGGAAACCAAAGGGAATAAAGTTCAGGTCATTTTACACAAGGATTTAGCACAGTTCTAGTCACTTAAGTTACATTTCTTTCTGTCTGTGTAGACGAACCCTTGGGCCTGCTATCTTTCCAGTTCTGCAAATTCCACATACTTGTGCATTCTCATTATTTCTGAAGCATTTAGTTGTCTTCTGTCACCATCATCCTCGCTCCCAGGGTATCATTCATTGTTTTCCTCCAGCAAAGTCTGTCTCTGACAGACTTTTTCGCTTCAAATTTAGGGATTTGGAGTGTATTTTCTTAATTAGCCAGATCACTTCATTGCAACATGAAGTTACTACAAAGACTTGCTCCCCCCTTTGGTTATATTATGCAAACTGGTTAGAAAGTTGGGGTGGGGAGAGAAGTAGGTTTAAACTACTTCTAAATTTTAACTAAATTACTACTAATTTTGAATTAGTTCTGCTAGAGAAGCTGTGCCAACCTGAAGGCACCCATTCTTTTCTCTATAAAAGTCATCCCCAGGCACATTTTTGGATTTACTTCCTCTGCGCTGCTAAAACATATTCTTGTCTTTCTATTGATAGAGCTAGGACTTGTCCAAGCCTGTTTCAACTTACATATCGACCCCAATTTCTGCCTATTTTGTTTCTTACTTCCTTAATATATATTAGCTTCCTATCACTCGTATTTCTTAGTGCGGGGCTTGAAGTCGCTCTGAGCTTAGAGTAAAAATCTCAAAGAACAGCATGTTGTTCCTTCCAGGCTGCTGCCTCCTCCTGTCCTCATCATTTGTTGCTGTTCCTGCCTGTTTCTCCCACACTTTTCATCTCTTTCTTGGGTCTGCTTCCTTCCCAAGATCGCAAGTTGGCAAATGTTGTTCTCTCTTCACAAAGCATATTCTCCATTAATAAATGATGCCAGCCTCTCTCTCGTTCTTTCACAAAACAACACCATTTATTCCCTGAACAATTCTAGCTATAATTACCTAATTACCAGCATGTATAACATACCATTTAGTGCTCTTACATGTCCTGGACTTGCTTATGTCTGTAGAGCACTGAGTCGGGAATATTACAATGTAGTCTCTGCCATGTACCACATGGGGTTCCGTGCATTTATTAGCCTAAACAAATGATGATTTTGGTAGCTTATATTGGCAGTACACTTGTTGTGAACATGTACAACTTGTATCTGGTTAGCTTGCCCTGTGGAAGAAGCTCTACCTGTCAGTGTTTTGCACATTTTGGCTGCCACGGCTCACAGCTCTGAAACATGCGCTCTGTATAACAGTGGAGAAAAACAGCTCAGGAATGCGTTTTAACCCAGAATCTAAACTGTGCATTCATAATGCTTAAAAATAACTTGAACAGTATTCCATGGCAGCCTTTTAGGGTTGGAATTGGGTTTGCTTTTGGACTTGTCTTATTAGTGGGAAAGGAGCAAATGCTACCAACTTCCATGTAGGAAGTTTACAATTTCGTGGTCCAACCTGAATGCATATAGTGAGGGTAAATTCATTAATGATGCACTTTAATGCATCTGATTCTTCAGTGTGTTTCCCATATCCTAAAGAGGATTTTTTTTTTCCTCCCAAAATGAAATTGACATTTTTCCATCCTCAATAGCACTCAACGATAAAATACAACATGAAATTACTGTTTTCTAAAACCATTCATTTGGTTCATTTTTGGTCATGGTGGTCTACATTCACAAAAGACTACAGTCATTTGAAAGACCTTATTTAAACAAGTCCCCTAGTATAGGGATATCATGTATTGGAAAAGAGCCTCTTCTTTTGGGAGAGTCCTAATTTGTAAGACGGCTATTTTTTAACTGAAAGATTATACTTGGGACTGAAGAATTAGTACCTTTTAGCCAACTTCAGTTTTCCCGCTTGTTGCATTAGGAGAGAGCAATATTCAGGGGAACAATTAGAAATACAGGAGTAAAACATTTAAAAGACCAGTCTCGGAGAATGTGAATTCAGGAGAGAGGGGAGGAGGTAAAATACAGGTAAAATGATACTTAAATAGATGAGATTTGAAGTCGATGTTTTTCCTTTTGGAAGAAAAAATTAATAAAGCAGTTTATTTGTATGTAATAGTATTTACGTATGTTACATGAAAGCTGCCTTTAAAGAATCTTGAACTAAAGTTTGCATTATTTCTCTCTCTCTCTGTCTCTCTAGGGTATACCCATGGCTTAGAGGTCTAGGCTATACATCTTTAACTGTATTTTTAATGGGATTTTTTCTCTGGAATGTGGACAACATTTTCTGTGATAAACTGAGGTGAGTTCTTTCACTTTGTCCGGATAGTTCTTAATAGTCTTCTAGCATAAAGCTTTGTTTTTTCTGTGGTGTATATTCAAGTCCATCTCATGGTATGTATGGTACACTGCCTACAAAACATTCACAAGGGTTTTATCCAGTTTGCTCATGACTAGATTCAGCACTCAACAGTTTTTTAACTAAACAGTTTTTTATCCATGAATAGATTTATTTTTTTAAATAATTGATATTTCTCTTGGACTTCAATTTAAATTGAGAGAAAGTAATGTCACTGAAGTAATTTTGAGGATCTGTGGCTTACTAAACCCTGCTATTCACACTTGATTTCATCTGAATGAGTTTTTTATCCTGCTTTTTTTGGTTTCTGCTCTTGCCATTTCCAGGAAAATATGAAAAGTGGTAGTTCTGCAGGTTAAAGAAATATCTATTGCAATGTATCTGTCACCAATAAACAACAGCTGTTTTTGCGTCTCAGAAAGAACAGTAACTCTGTGAGCCGATACACCGTGCTTGGCTGTCATTATTAGCCTGAAGTCTTCTGGCTTAGCCCTCGTAGAGGAGGGCAGGAAAGACTTCCTCTCTGTTTAGTGTATTGCCAAATGGGGTAAAAAAGGCTTCCAGACAAAGGTTGTAGGAACCCACCACCTTGTCGTATGGCTCGATGTCCCATCTGTGCAAGAAAGAACACCAGTCCAGCAAGTTTTCTCTTAATGCGTGTTCCTTTGGAACTGGACAACTGCACCTTTCTTCTGCTTAGTTGTGGTGCTTGTGTTCCGCCGCAAGCTGGAGGAGATGGAAAGGTTGATGCCAGCATCCAGAAAATCCGTTCTTGACTATCTGATATATTGTTATGCCGCTAAATCTGTGGTGTACAGAATTGTCCTAGTAGGTTGCTTTGTCAGGGTAGGATCATAGTGTGCTGTAAAGAAGTCTGGTGTTTTCCATCTGTCCCTTTTGGCTCTGTAGTCCTTGCACTAGGCTAGGCCAATTGAAAGTTAACTCCAACAGAGTTTTCTTGAAACTTTTTTAAAAAATACAGGTGTACTGAATATAATACATGGTGCCTCATCTCTAGAAACACTTGATACAGACGGCATAGTAAAGTTATTTGCCAACACAAGTGGGTGGGTATAGAGTGACATTGCAAATACTGGCATCAGGATTGATTTTTGCAGCTGCATCACATCAGTGGTAAGATCATAACCCCCGATTCACTAAGCCTGCTGAGCTGCTGCAGGTCCGTGGGGCTTTTGAACTTGTTCCTAGGCTCAAAGATTACACCAGCTGCTGAAGCACTTTTTTCCATCCTCATTTTGCGAAGGCAAAAAAAAAGTTAGCATATTTCCTGTAATACTTGTTTGGTTATGGTACTGGAAAAAAATAAATACGCTTGTTTACTAGGTTTAGTCAGATGTCTGCAGAGCCTTGAATTTCTCCAGGTGGTATTATAACTCGAACCTTTGGAGAAAATATATTCCAGTTCCTTGTAATTTTTTATTCTCTAAAGATCTAACCTATGAATCATCCACCTACCTGCTCTTTTTGGTTTTAATGTTCAAAATTGTATTTTGGTTCAGTTTCTGGTTTTCCATATTTCATTAAATTTAGAACTTATTTAAAAAAAAAAAAAAAACAAACAAAACCAAACCAAACAAAAAAACCATCTGTAGCACTCAGCTTCCCTGGTTGGATCTGTGCACTTCTGAACTTGAGCTTTGAGATTTCCTGCCATCGAAAGACTCAGAGGCTGTGCCGGGGTGACAGTCTGTGTGTTCCACTATGTCATTCCCGGGCTGATTGAATCGAAGCTCTGTGTTCGTATTTGTGACTGAGCAGCTCTGGAAGCTAAGCAGTAGCTCAGGGATTAGCAATTAGTCTGAACACTATAACATCAAGCAGTAAATAAGTATTACAGAAGCTGCAGATTTTTCTTCCTTAACACCTGCGGCCATTGTTTTCCCATTTTTGTTTTGACTGAATGTGAAATGAAAGTTAAAAAAGAAGACAGGCAGATGCAAACATTTGCTCCACCGTCAACCAAAATAGGCGTTATCTGCAGAGGCCTAGTGAGCAGGAGAAATCAGGGCAATGTAGTTCCTCCCTTTTCTTTCTCTATCGCCATCCCTTAGTCTCTTCCCAAGTAGCTCACACGCCATAACTGTGCAAAATACAAAGCGGAGTATCTCAGACCCTCTACTTCCATTGCTTTCTCACTAGATATCCATTTTGTCCCTGTTGTAGAGTACAACAGAGCAAGGCAAGCTAATCTTCCATGGAGCTGGAGAATAGGTGATGTGATTGCCAAATGTAAAGTGGTGATGTCTGATGGATCCCATTTCCTCTCTCAGACTTTAAACTCAGCAATTCATCCTATGGACAGTAGTTCACCGGGTTTTGGGGAGGAGAATGGTAGAACTCATTTGGGAGTGTGGGATGCCATAAGTATATTACCTGAAATTTGAGTCCGGAAGTAACTGATCACTGATTGTATGAAGAAGTCTGTGCTTTCTTTAAATGTGTAAGAAAGCCAGTGTGCTAATATCTCTCTATACTGGCAATATAAGGTGTAACTGCTGTTCTGCACCTGCTGAAGGCCTGACTACGTGAAGCCTCACTCGTGAAGCAAATGCCTGAGATACGGAAACAGTAATGTGTGATCTGACACATGCGATTTGAGATTGTTTAGCTTGAAAAAAAAAAAACATTGAATGGTGTTTCGTTCTTACAGAGCACTACGAGAGAAGATGCCTCCTGTTCTGGGAGCTGTGACACAGTTTCATGCATGGTGGCATATTCTCACAGGCCTGGGCTCTTACCTTCATATTCTGCTGAGGTAGGAAATGTTTTCTAAACTGGATGTTCATAAAGCAGTCTTAGGAGTTTTCCCAGGTTCAGATTTACTTCAAAATGTATCAGCCAGAAGAGCAGGAAAATGACTTCTTACTAAACGGGTGGAAGTTTTTCTTTCCTCTTTGTAACTGGTCTAAAAACTCTGTAGAAGTAATTTATATTCTTCAAAGTGTAATCATTAATCTTTAAATAGTCATGGTTCTTCAGGAAAATGCAATTCGGAAATGGGAACCCTGTAGCAGTTAAACTGCAGAACTATTTGACAGTATATTAATTTCAAAAGATAAGCTATTAATACCTTTCTGTTCTTGAACAGCAATCCTGAAGTACTTAAACATGTTTCATTTTAGAAGCGTAACTAATCTTTCTGATAGGCACTGTTACTCCTGAAAACTAGCAGGCATCATGCTATAGAGCAGAAGGGTTGACAGCTGAAGTGGTTGGAGCAAAGCTGTTCCCAGGAGCGCAGGATGTTAGTTTTAGAAGGAGACTTAAATGAGAGCCCAAGTTAGCATGTCTGCAGCCAGCAGATTTTTGTCTCTGTTTTTGCTCTATACCACCATCTAGTGGAACCAGGAACAAAAATGGAATTTAAGCTGGAATCCAAAGAATTTCTGTATTTTTTTCATTATGTAATGAAATAATGTTTTATCACTTAACCATAAGAGAATGTTTGTTTAACAGCTACATTCTATGTAGTCGAGAAAACTTGATTACATATCAGTTTTTCTACATCTAACACAGTATTCTCCTTTTTTGTCAAATGTTAAAATAGCTAGTAAAAGGAAAATGCAAGGAAAAGAAGTACATTTCCAGTAGCTATTCTGATAGCTCTTTTTATATATACATATATGTATATATGTACATACATACATGTATATATGGACGTGTCTCTATACGTACGTGTGTGTATATATTTGTATATATAAAATGTGTCATGGTATGTGGAAAACAGCTGCTTCATTTTGGCTAACAGGTTGTGTGCTGCCCTAAACAGCTTGAGATAATCTTTTGAAGAAAATTCCTTACAGAAAGCAAGCTAATGCAGAGTTTGGATAGCATAGGCAAGGTTTTTCCAGCATGCTGCACAGAGAAAATAATTTGGGTTTGTATCCTCTAGCCCTTGGGGAATGTGCAGATGCCTGATTTGTCTGTCCTACCCCAAAGAACAACATGCTTTCCCTGCAGTAGTTTCCCCAGTATTTTCTCAGCCACACGGTGGCATCACCTATGGCCACTTTGAAAAGTGAGGTCATACACAGGAAAAGATCTACTGAGGAGAGAGGGTGTATAAGAACAAAAATGGGATACAAAATCAAGCTATGCTGCTTTCCCCTCACTGTGCTTAACATCTGCTATATTTTGTGGTACACTGATTTAATTTCATCCTTCCAAAATGACAGGCTCTAGTCCCTGTTTAGTCTTTTGCATAGTGGAGAGAGAATTTACTTCTCTGGGTTTCCCTCTTTCTCCCCACATAAGTGATAGGGTAGATTAGTTTGCTAATCATAGTCTAGCACAAAGGGATTTAGTGTAGGTTGACATCTCCTATTTTGTGTAAATCTAGGCAGAATGGGTAGCTCTGCGATCACAGAAGCAATTCTTCTCTAGTTGGACAATAAAACTGGGATTAGTACATCATCATCATTTTATATGCTGTCTTATACATGAAATTTTAAGCACACTTTTCTCCTTTTCCTCAGTTTATACACAAGGACACTTTTCCTGAAACACAGGCCAAAGGTGAAGGTAAGCAAGCAATACTTTGTGTCCATTAATGCACTGCAGCGTTTGGATATCTTGTGCTTTGAACTTGCATTGGGGCTCACTGATTATGCCTGTTAGGGTACTAGCTTTGATTTCTACTTACATCCCAAGAAATGTGGTTGAAACGATGGTTGACAGTGTTTGGTTTCTATTCCAAGAGACATAATATTCCAAGAAATCTTTCCCCCTCTTTCTATTTTTCTTTTAACAGTTTGTTTTTGGAATATGGCCTGTTCTTCTTGTGGAGCCGCCCAAGAAGCTTTGACTGAGACCTAGGCAGTCGCATGTGATCACCTAGCCTGGCTGAATAAAGCAATTCCACAGTTACTATGGCTGAAGTGTCAAAATTACGGATCAATTCAAGTACCATTGCTATAAAAGGACTTCTCTGTCTTACTAGGCCAGCTGGCCGGAACAGAGCAAAGAGTTGGCACACTAAGGAAATAATGTTTAGTACAGCTTTATTCTAAGTTGTTAAAACAAAGATTAAGACACAATATTTTTATGTACATATTGTATAGCTGATGATACTGAGCTAATATTTCGTGCTGGTCACAGAAAACTAACCATTTTTGAAGTGGATTGCATATGTTTTTCATTCAGTTGTTCTTTCTGTGGTTTAAACTAATATTAGTAACTGAATGACAAAAACAGGCCATTGATGGCCAAGCTAAGCATTTGTGTGGCCTATAGTGAACTGAATGCTTAACCTGAACTACTTTAATCTTGCACTTTTATACAATTAATGAAGTATGTAATGATTGATTTAGGGCTTTATTCTATCTTGCTTTTCCACAGCTTCCTTTGCAATTTATATTTTAAGCAAAACGGTTGGGATACCTGTGCCATATAGTTCATTTTGTACCAAGCTTCCATTTTCTCTTTAGTCCAACTGAGGTACATCATGGAGGATGTTCCAGGGTGTGACTGGCAGAAGACACTTAAGATGGTGAAATATTATATAGGTTCTTGTTTGTGTGTGCAAACTGAATTCCTAATTTGTTGGACCAGTGATCCATCAGGAGACTGCAGGGTGACTGTATAAACACAAGAAACACTTTTTTATTTTTTATAATTATTACTTACATGCCTCCCTTTTCTATCCCTATTTTTTACTCCCCATGTCCCATTCATACTACAGACTGACAAACACATTAGATGTGTGCTAGCTCAGCTTTGAATTCATCTCTTTCCCTTACGAGTCTTAAATACTGGTCTGACTTTCAGAAGCATCTTCTTGTTCAGAAATATTGAAGAAAGAGAGAATAGCCCAAAATATAATTGTCAGCAGTTTGATTGCTTGCTCTTAATCTGTCCATCACACGGTTACTCTGTGGAAAGTTGACCACCTTTTTAAAACCAAACTTTGGGGATTAATGGGGGGAACAAACCCTCTGGTTTCTGCAATTTTTATCTACCCAGCTGATGAAAGTTAGTAAGTAAGCGTAAAGAAAACATTGAACTAACAGAGTTTTTCAAAATATACCTCATATTGGAGGCTGTGGTTTTGACTCTTCAGATCTTGGGGCAACTAACGGAGTCTGTCTCTGGGCCTGCTAGCTGCCATGCTATGCAATTTTAGTCTGCTTTTGATGCTCTGAGGGATTTAACCTTCTTGCCATGAAGGAAAAAAGGGAAATACTCAGACTGATTGGAAGTCCCATTCTGTATTGATTTAAAATGTGCCCACAGCAGCAAGGCACAGTAATGTACCTATAAAGCTGTCTCCTAGATCACTAAGTCCTGGCTAGTGTAAGCTTCCTTGCTCCGACTGCTGAAAAAGTCAGACTGAAATCTATATTGTACAATCAACACTGACTAAAATGGTCTCTTCCCTTTAATATATTTTTTCTTTTTTCCTGTTGCACCTTAGCTGCATCCTCGGTGTCCATCAGTAGCACTCCTACTGATGTGACTCTCCAAATAAAATGGGGGCTTTTGTTATGTGACTGACCCTGGACTCTTGGGATCAAACAGACCCAAACTCAGGGCTAGAAAAAGATAGGTAACCTTGAATGACTTCAGTGAGGTTTAAGCAAGTGCCGATAGCAGTGCATTTCAACCTGTAATCAGCAAACCACTATAAAGGTTCTTGAATGAAAATTTTAAAACAGATTTGTTGTCAGTAGGCTCCAGTTCCGTAGACAAGGTCAGCATCTGTGTTGGGAAATTTGAGTGATCTTCAGACTGAAAGACATTGGAATAATTAGCATAGAGGTAGGAGAATGCTGTCTTGGATCAAGTGTCTTTAATTATCCAGGAGGCATATTTTTTGTAAAGAGATTTGAGAACTGTTTTAAAAATGTAGCTTAAAAATAAGTGCCTGTCTATTCACCTCCAGGCTCTCTTAAGCATGCTTCTGTACACTGCATCCAGTTTTCTTATTAGTATGTTTACATGTTTTCATAAGTTAGGGAAAAAGTCCCATAATAGGAGCAGTGCAGCAATGAGACCTATCAACAATCACTTGTGATATCTGCTAGGTATGATATTATTTTTAAGAAAATGAACAAAACCTTTATTTTAGTGGCCTTAGTTTTGTTACCGGAGGATCTGGTGGCTCTATTTGGTTTCCCTATAATTGCAGGAACCAGAGTGTGCTGAAAAGCCACTTTCTTATTGATAAGGCATCTCTACAATGGTAAATTTTACAGAAATTTGTTGATTCTCCTACACATTTGCAACTAGGAATGTATTTTTCTTTTCAGATCTTGTTGAATTAAATTGTTGGGATTTAAAAACAAAAGTTGGAAAAGCCCTTGTTTTAATTTTATGCTGCTGTTAGTTTTTCATTCACATATCATTTGTCACTGATGTTTTTATCTTTAAAAAAAAATTACACAAATTTGCTTCTTCCTTCATTCCAAATGACCAAAAACATGCACACCTCTACCACCCTTCTAGCAGCCTTTCAGGTTATGTTAGATCCTGAAGAATGTAATTTACGTGTGTATCCTTCTGAGCATAAATAATCTAAAATTATGGGTGCTTTGGTTTCACTGCCTTACTGATCTTGTGAGTGATATTGAAAACGGCAAGCCAGTTTTAACTGCATGTCACCAAAATTCAGACTGCCTTTTCTAGTGCCTGGAAAGACATATATCCTTACTCCTGTAATGTGTTAAATGTCTGTTAAATTGCTTTTTGTTTGTATCACTTATATGACATGCTGATTTTTTTCTACAAACCTTAGAGCAGCACATCCCAAACTTTTCTTGCACTACATCTTATAAGATGGGTCATTTTTCATCCTATTTTTTGAGTAGGATTCAGACAGCAGCTACTTTAAAGGGAATTAGGGATGTAGCAGGTGGTGTTTAATATGAATCCTACAGGATGTGTTGGACAGACTTGATAGCAATGAACTCTCACTCTTTAACATCCATGAAGAACCAGGAAATCTGCCACCTCACGACCATCGGCTTGGCACAGGTCAGCAGCAAGTAGTTCTGCAGACTGTGAGCTGAAAAATTCTTCCTTGGAAATAAAAGAAAAACCTCAAAATTACTCTCCCAGTACAGATCAACACCATACCTTATGCCGGGAATCTAGATTTTCTGGATATAGCTCAAGACATGCATTATCCAGAACTGAAGATAAGACATGATAAACAGAAATCTCTCATTGAGACGAATCTCGTCCGTGTTTTGAAGGCAGTGTTGTTAGCTAGCAGTTAGTCATCTCTGGACTTCATTTTAATGCTTTTCTTTTAGCATAAGGAAGATGTGCTACCTGCAAGTGTTTAGAAGACTACCCCATAGTCAGAATTGGAATATGCAAGTCTATCACTTGCCGATCTACCTCTGCCATGTATTGTGCAACACCTGTGCCCTTAATTACATCTGCCTGAATGTGCAGCCATTAGAGCAGCCTGGCTTAGACCAGGCAGCCCCTGAGGTTAGCCACAGTATTGTATTGATCTGTGGCTGACTCAGTTCACTCTCCGTAAACATCCTGACTTGTTTGGTGTCTGTCACGTTTAGGTTGTGCTCAGTCTGCTGTTCATCTGCGTGCAGAACTCTGGCTGCTTTAGAAAGCGATATGAGTAGGAGGACTTTAATTCAGAGAAGTGAAGTGAAACCTTTTTAGCAGTTAAGTTACATTTAAAGCTAAGATGCAAACAGTATAACTTGTTTTGCATGATTTTGGAAGAGATGTGATGGAAAATACTGTTATTATAATTAGCTTTAATTCTCTTTTAATCTAATATTGTGCTGTCTTGTTTGGCTGAAGGGACATTGTGTGATTTGAAATGCAGTTGATTCTTTTGGCTATAGTGCATTTGCTTCCAACACCTGGTTTCAAACAGCTGAATGAGTTTTTCAGCTGACTCCTCCATGTGAAACTCTTAGCAATGGAAAATCCTCCCCGTATCACGAATGTTTCTCACAGTCACTACCACCTTGTTTACGCTGCATTCAAGAATTTTGGTAATACCTTTTTTTTTAAACTTGTTTCTCTCTTTGAATATATTTTTGGCATTTGATAGCAGGTGGTGAAACAATTCAATATAACACTTCTCAGTGGAAGACGAGCTCTAATGAAGCAGCACTGCTGGTTTCTTCAGTAGACCTCACAATCCAGGAACACACCTTAACTTTGGCAGAATGTGTGCCCCGTAATTTAAATTAACATGTTCAGGTAAAATGGTTTACTTTAAAGAAACCCCATCTGCACTTTATAAGTAAGTGGTGGGAGCCTTTAACTGCAAAGTATGATTTAACTGTGAGACTTTAGTATGAAGAGGGATAAATGATGGAGTCTTTGTTACCCATGAGAAGCGAAAGCCAGAAGGAGATTAAGAAATCTTACATGGAAAGAGAATAACAAAAGATAAGCACAGAATCCTGTAGTATTATGTCAACCACCCTCCTGATAACTGCACTTTAGATACTTATGTTACAAGCTTGAATGTTTTGCTATTTATACATTTAGCTTTCCATGCTGACTCTTCACTCTTTACCATAGAAGTGATGTAGGCTCTGTTACATTCAGTTCATTGTAGATTATTCAGCTGTTTTTTTATGAGGATGGAACGTGACACGGATTGTTTCGTACATGAATGAATACATTTCTTATCCATATGGAACGTCCTCTGCCAGCTTTGTTTGAGAGTCCGTAACGTAACTACAGAGAAGATACTGTATAATTCTTAAGATTGGTTTTGGGTTTCTTTGTTCAGTTTCTCATTCACGACTGCCTACGGCTGCCAAGTGCCTGATCTCTTTGTTGCACGTCTTTTCTGAGAGCTGAGGCTGTGTTTTCTCCTGCGGTCTGTAAGACAAGGTCCTTGGTAGGTGGGAGGTCAGTTTGTTTTTTGTTAAAAATTATCCTGCTGCAGGAGTCGCAGCACTCCTCTTAGTCACTTTCCAGAAACATAGTTATCCAGGACGTGGCTGCCTCTGCTTGGCTCAAACTTGTGCCTGACTACCCCACATCCCTGATGCTGTTGCATCTTTCCAGATTTTGAAAGCTGGCTGGGAGATTTAGCCCAGTGGTGTTTATTTTAGTGTGTGTAGTTCAATGACAGGCAGTGTGAGGGCGCAGCAGTCAAGCAAGCACTTTATGCAGAGCCCCGTTACTGGAGCTCCCTGCCAGATGCTCCAAACAGGGACTGGGGATAATGGGGCTTCACATGTACAATTTTGGGGGTAGGGTTGATGCCTGAACCTAACCTCTTACTTTACTTCAGAACTCTGTGTTTTCACTTGTTGAAAGTGTTTAGATTTGATTAAGTATGTAATTGCAGATTTAAGAAGAACCAAGTTCAGAATCCAGCTAATGCAAGACCCTAAACCAGTGCCTGCAAATTTTTTTGCACATATTTCACACAAGTTGAATCTGCCTGATGTTTAGACCAGGTTGTTGAGATT